TCTCCCCAAGTCCTTATTTTCCAAATCAGCTGTGTTTTTTTCAAGATGTTGAATTTTTTTTCCCCCCCCCCCCCTTTTTTTTTTTTTGAAGCCCCCACCAGCATCTCAGCCTGCTTCATTTATTCCCCGGTAGTTTGCCATCCTGCTAAAAAAAAATAAAAATAAAGGGGTCAATACCACACACCCCCACAGACACCTCTGCTCCCGGCCCCCCCAGCAGCCCATCCGAAAATGAAACGCGCCCGCCCAAATGAAGCGAGGGGGGGAAGGATGGACGCCTGCAGAAAGACAACGGGGCTGGGGTTTTGGGGTTTTTTTTTTTTATTATTATTATTTTTCCCCCCTCCCCGGGGATGGAGAGCATCCGGGCACCGAGTTTAAGCCTGGTGTGTGTGCAGGCACCCTGGGGAGGAGAGCCGGAGGGGACGGGAGGAGAGAGGAAGGGAAGGACGGAGGGGGAAAGGAAGGGGATGGGAAAAAAAAAAAGGAGCCATTTTCCGCTCCTTCTCCGCATCCAAAGACCAAACCTCCCCGTTACCTGCAGTCTCCGGCTCAGGAGGTGTTGTCGGCAAAGCCCGGAGATGCCCCCCCCCTTCTTTTTTCCCCCCAGAAAGCCCCTTTTCTCCCCCAAAAATGGGCTAGGGGGGCAGCGAGGGGCTCTGTGTGTGTCCCAGGGATGCGAGGGCCACGGGGAGCAGGTCAGCACAGCGCGGTGGCCGTGGCGTGACCGGGGAAGCCCGGTCCCTCTGATATCCTGAGCAATAAGAGTTAAAAAAAATAGGGGGGGAAGGAAGGAAGGAAGGAATTAAAAAAAAAAAACAAACCAGAGGGGGGAAAAAAAAAAGAGAGGGGAGAAAAGAGCTCTGCACAATTGCCAGGGCCCTCTGGCGGCAATAGCGACGGTGTCTCTGGGCGGAAATTAAAAAAAAACCACCTTGCAAAGTGAAAAATGCTCCCCAGTGTGCCGGTGAGGTGTTTTTTTCCTCGAAATGTGGAAAAAAGGACAGTTTTGGGGTGCGCCTGCCTCTCTGTGGGGACGGGGACGTGCCTTCAGGGGACATTTTCCTCATGGAGGGCTGCGGCGGTGGAGCTCCTTGCTGCCGGACGGAAGCGCAACCCCATAAATTTATGGGTGATAAACGCATTAGGGACCACTTTGGGGCCAAAAATCCTAAATTTGGAGCTGGGGAAGAACATTGGGAGATGTTTTAGCAAGGCCGGACTGAGGGAACCGGGCTGCCGGGCTGCACGAATCCTCCCATTGCGGCATCTGTCTCGATTCTTCACGGCGGGGGAAGAGGCAGGGTTTGGGGGGGAAAGGGAGGGGTTCTGTCAAGGGGGGG